TCCATATCCAGTTCTAATTCTTGCTTCCCCTCCCATATATAGATCTCTCAGGAGATAGACAAGGTGGTCAGGCACTCCCATTTTTTTTTCAGAACTTGCCATAGTTTGTTGTGGTCCACACAAAGGCTTTTGTGTAGTCAATGAAACAGAAGTAGATGTTTTTCTGGAACTCTCTGGCTTTCTCCCTAATTCAGAGCATGTTAGCAATTTGGTCCCTAGTTCCTCTGCCCCTTCGAAATCCAGCTTGTACTTCTGGGAGTTCTCGATCCACATACAGCTGAAGCCTACCTTGTAGAATTTTGAGCATAGCCTTGCCTAGCGTGTGAAATGAGTGCAATGGTCCTTGTTAGTCAAGGTTTACTTGAAAACATGTAGCTATTATTATTACTAGAAGTGGTATCTGGTAGACTTTTCCCTTACGTGCAAATTCTAAAGTGTCAAAAGCTTTGTTGGCATGAAAACCATCACCAGTACGGTTTCCTAGGGTAAGTGAAATTGTTTGCAGCATCTCACTCTACTTGATCTCCTTTTCGGTTGTGGAATTTCATTAGCCTTGGGACCACTGCTACCAAGTCTTGCTGTAAAAGGATGCGAATCTTGCAGCCTCTTGTTTTCTCTAAATTGAGATTACTTCTCCCCCCCCCCCATCTTCAACATTTCTTGAAGAAATGTCAAGATGCAGTGAATGGCTACAATATCTGTGCAGACATTGATGCCCCCGGCAAAGGATGAAGAAAACACCAAGATATGCAGGATTATTGCAATTCCTGTTTAGAGTGACAAACGTCCTGTGCAGGCCTGGTTTGTACAATGAGCACAAATGTATGGATGCATTTGCCCTGGTGTAATTGGTCTGATGCTGCCTGCTGTTCTTGCAAAGCATGGTATGATCTGTATTGCCCGTAGGCTTATGAGGATATACACATATTTGCTGAGCATCCTCATGCTGTAGTGAAGTCACCTTAATGCATGTTTTCCCAGTCTGCCATCTACTGCAGCCCTAGTTTCCATACAGAAGCTGTGTTTGTCTGTCACAGCCTTCAATCCTGGTTGCACAACTATCCAAAGTTTTGCCTCTATCATAAAAAGGTTAGTTTTTTTAAAAAAACATTATTTGCCAAATAAACACACACACATTTAAGTTGTTTTCATGCTTAGATTAGTATCTGGTCTACTCATCTCAACCAAAAGCGGACTCATTGAATCAATTGCTGAGTGGTAAATCCACACATGTAAATATTAAGTGAATCAGTTTATTCTAGTTGAGATTAGTGCTAGGATAGTGGCTTTAGCCATACACCAAATAAAACCAACATGTCTCCTAGTATGACAATGTCTGCATTGAACCCTATATCCATCTTTTGTTAAATTAAATGTGAAGAGCTTTCAAATGATCCAAGATCATTTGATCTGTGAGTGATTGTTCGTACCTTTCCCCAGAAAAACTTCCTCCCAAATCGTTACATGTTGGTTTTGGATATTTAACACCTAGAACCATAGCAGGGTTTAAATGAACGGTCAGCTCCGTCCTCCATTCTTTACAAGTATAATATATGCATTCTGAACTCTTCAGATGAACTTGAGAAGGGCTGCCTTGCTGACATATATATGTATGTATCATGTGCTGTGCACTTATCATTACCCTGCTTCCTTGGCTCAGTAAGTTCTTTTGGGTTTGGGAGACACACCCCGAAAAGCTATCAGGAACATGAAGGCCCTAAAGAATCATAAAGGGACAGGACTCATGTCCTGCTTCCTCCTTGATTAAAGGATGGGTTGTTTCCTGTGAGTCTGCAAAACATGCAAATACCTACTTACTTGATGACCATGCCACCACCCAGCTGATTATCTCCCAAGCATATCTTTTGACTTGGCCAATCCAACCCTCCAGAGGGAGGAAATGGACGAGTCCTGCAGCATCCCCACGTCCCAAGCTGGGTCAGCAAAGTCAGGCACTGCTTAAGCACCCTTGCTGACATGTTTTTTCTTTCACATATTGCGCCATATATTGCTCTGTACTGGATCTCCAGTGTGGTGTAATGGACAGGGTGACATCCCAGAGCCCAAGAGACCTGCATTCAAATATTCATGGAAGCTCACAGGGTGTGTGTGGAAAAAACTAATCCTAAATATCACACTTATGGTGAAAACTGCATTAGGGTCACTATATCTGTTCCAGCTCCACGGTACACAATGTAGAACTACCGTTTCCCATGTTTTGACCCATTCTGGGCACATCCCCAGAAATCTTGTTTGGAATGCTCTAGAGACAGATAGAGGGTTAAGGGCTTCCAGAACAGGGATTCAGATGCCTGCTTGGTCAAGGAAAGTCCTTAAGAGGGGTTTTTTTTTTTTTGGCACTGATAAGGGTTTTTTTTTTTTTTTTGGCACTGATAAACCTACACCTTCCATATCTCACAGAAAACCGTATTAGAGTTGCCATACCCGAGATGCCACCTGGCACCACCCAGCGCGCAACTAGCTCCCTTTGGGGGTTTGTGAAGTCAGTTTTCATCGTTCTTCCTCTGCACCGAAGACCAGACGAAAGTATGTATGTTGGGCAAAAATCGTACCAGCACCTCTCCCCACCTCTAACCGTCAAAATGCAATAATCCTCAACATTTTTTGCTCTTTTCCTTACGTCTCAAGTGTTGTTGCCCAAAGCAGCCTTTGCTATCATTGCTGACGCTGCACCACCGACCGCCAGCGCCGGCTGTATAGGAGACAAATGCTATAAAACAGTGGTTCTTAACGTGGGCGATAATGCCCCCCAGGGGGCGATTTCAGTTTTCAGGGGGGCAGTAGAACGAAAAGGGGCGGCGTGGGGGCGCTGGAGCAGAAGGGGGGGCACTGGAGCAAGCCAAACCTGTGAAGATGGCTGCAGCCTTTTTACAGTGTGCATGAATATATATTTTCCTCCAATTTTAATTTAGTTTCAGACTTTTTGTCTTGAAATTTTTAGATCCTGCACTTGTTTTTATGCCCTTTTAATATTTCTTTTTGCGTCTTAAAATTCGCTTGTAACTAAATCATTAAATGTTACTTTTTGGGGGGCATTTCATTTTCTTGGAATTTAATTTTGTTTTCAGGGGTCATTGGATTTAAGTGTCTTAAACAAACAAACAAACAAACAAACAAATAAGATATCATCACCGCGGGGAGGGGGGCGATGATAACTTCCTCAATGGCTCAAAGGGGCGTTTCTTTCAAAAAGGTTAAGAACCACTGCTATAAAACACAGCAAAAGGGGCTGTTAAAAAAAAAGTTTTGCGCGACAAGGTTCAGGAGCTGCAGGGATTTCTCGATTTTTTTTAAAAAAGTGCACATACAAAAATAAAAAAGCAACTCGTGATCCTTATCCACAAAAATCCATCCTCCGCAATGCTTTATCCCCAACCTTTGTTCCTTTAAACATCTTTTAACTTTAGGATGGGCATGTGGGCTTTTATGCTGTTACTAAACCGGTGGTATCTGGCACGTTGGAAGACCCATCTGGGCGCAAACGACCCGCGTCTGGTGCAAAGGACGGGCGTCTCTTACCCGCCGAAGCGATGAGAAACGCGCACGCGCACACCCCGCCATCGGGAACGGCGGCAACGCCTCCTGGCAGCCACCAGGTGGCGGACTGAGCCCCTTTTCGTAAGGGCCCAGAATGTCAGGATGGGGAGGGGGGAAAGAGAGAGAGAGAGCGCAGAACAGTTTATTCTAGAAACTTCCGGCGAGATCCAGCCTCCGAGAGCTGCGGCCCTCTCCTCTCGCGATAGCTCTCTTCCGCCCCTGAGCCATGAGGTGGTCCCAGAAGATAAAAACTGGTAGAGGTGCACACGTCTCCGTGTGGACGAGCACTTCCTGGTCCGCGTCGAAGAAGCCATTTTCGAAATTTTACCGAAAGAGGAACAGAGAGATCTCCCCATAGAAGCCAATGAGCAAAAATCCAATGTTTGATTTTTTTCCCTAGCTTTCTTTGGGCATCAGCCCATCCACAGAGAAAGGAAAGGCAGCTTGAAAGAAAAAAGTTCATGTTACTTCATCTCTTTTTATATAAGCTATATTGACTTTGTGGTTGTTCAGCTTTTGAACTTTTTTTTCTTTTAAAGGAACGTGACTCCCAAACCTGCCCAACCGAGACCCGGGCATGATAACCAGGGTTGTTCGGCTTTTGAACTTCTTTTTTTCTTTTAAAGGAACGTGACTCCCAAACCGAGACCCGGGCATGATAACCACCTTGCAAAGAATCCATTCCAACCTCGTACCTGGTTCTGAGGGGCTCCCTGGTGGAGAGGCGGACAGCCCCGCAATGTAGGCCTTGTTTAATACGGACCAAGAGAGGA